AAAAGGCATTCTGTTGACCCGGCCCCCCAATTAAAAGGAACTTTAGTTTTCTTAGAAAATTTTTGCAGGTAAAAATTTCCCAATAAAAGGTCATTAAAATTTTGGGCGATCTGTGCAGTTTTTAATAAAACCCCCCTTGAAATTTAACCTGAAAAACCCAAAAAAAAGTACGCAACCCCTTAAAGGCAAGTATTACGGAATGTTTTGAGTTTTTAAAATCTTCTCAGGACCCTTCTTCACCCCAAATTCAGCACAAACCCAATTGACCCAAATACTGACTTGGGGCTTAAAAAATTCACCCCTTTGGCCTTTAATTTTAAATTTTGGCATCTCAAGACTTTGAAAATAACGGGAAGGCGAGGAAATTTGAGACCCAATAGAATCAAAAAGTTTATAATGCATAAAGATAAATAAAAACAGTCACAAAGGTAAAATTTCGCCCAACAACGCTCCATCAAGGGCTGAAACGTTGCAGGGGCGGGCAAGCCCAAAAAGGGCCTTTCTGTTGCACTTTTCCCGAGGGCCCAACATTTAAAGGGGCCAGTCTTTTGCTTACAATTTTTTGACGGGCCCTCCAGAAAACCTGGGGCGGGGTTCATTTAGAAAAATAGTGGAACCTTTTGAAGAATCTATAGTTTGGGCGAGGGCGGGGGAAGGGGCATAAGCTTTCCTTGATTTGTAGGGTTTTTCATTTTCCGGAATCGTTTCCCAAAAACGCAAAGACCCGCCTTTCTTTTTTAAACAAAAACCAACTTTTAGAAGAAAAAGGACTCTTGGATCAGGGAATCGCTCCTGGGGAAAATTCATTTTTCAAAAAATTCTCACGTACCCCCCTCAAAAAAATCCCTGGTGGTTTGGGCATAAGGGTTTTTAAAGGGGGGGGGATCAAAAAAGATTGATTTCATGTTTCGACCAAGTAAAGAAAACCCAAAAATCAGTAGGCCCAGAGGAAAAAATATGTTTCCACTGATTGAAAAAGGGAATTCCTTAACCGTGTTCAGAATTTAAATTTTTAAAGGGGAAAAAAAATTTCCAAGGTCATAAAGAGACTTGTCTGAATTGTGGGATTACCCAGAAACGCCCTCTGAAATAAAGGGTTGCGAAAAACCCAACACATCAGGAAAATTTACAAAAAAGTCATTTTTGGTTTTGAATGGTAATAGCCTCTACGGGAAAAAAAAAAAAACCCACGTACGGGAAAACCCCTGAAAAAAGAATTTACCGGGTTGGGTAATTTTAAAACCAATCTAGGGCACCCCTTTCAATCATAAGGGGAAATCAGAACTCTGAAACACCAAAATAAACATTTTTCAATATCCCTTAAACCTTTCCCCCTCAAGGGGTTGTTGTTTAAAAAGGGCTTCACAATGACAGTCTTTTAAAAGGAAGATAAACATTTTTTGGTGAAAAAGTCAGTAAAGGGGAAGATATATGTTTTTAAATGGGTTTGATTTACTCTGTTCCTGAGACTTAAAAAATTTCATTATGTTGGGGGCCCTATTTTTCAAAGAACTCTGCATAGTACTCTGTGTCGGGAACAATCAAAAATAGGAGTTTGAAAAAATTGATGAAAGAGAAGGAAAAAAAAATTTTCAAAAACTGAATACCCCAAGTAGGGTACCTTGAACCATTGGGCAAAAGGAAATACCCAAAATTTAAAATCTAAAACCCTTGTGACAACGGCGGGGGTTTTAAAATTTTTTAAAGAATAAATTCCAAAATTGAAATCATAAACCCCAAGATTTATCAAAGTTTAGTTAAAAGTCCCATTTATAAGAATTTCAGATTCATTAGAAGATTAACTGGGAAGAAATTTAGAAGCGGGGGCCAATAGAAGGGGAAGTAGGGACCCCCTCTTTGCCCCCGATGGGGTCGACGGTATTTTAAAGGACTGCAGGGGCCCTTTGACTTTCCCTGAGGGAAGACCCTTCTTTTGTTTCAACCCGGTTTCCCTTCTCCATACTAACAGCCTGGACTCCATCCCTTCCCATTGCTTAAAAAAGGGGCCCTTTTTTTCCTGGAAAAGTCTACTATCTACAGTAGTGACACACGGGTTTGCAGAACAGATCATTAGGGGTAGAAAAGGGAAAGAAACATTGGGCCCGAGGGCTTGGGCCGCTTGGGGGGGAAGAGGGGGAGAATTGGGTAACGAGACAAACGTAAATCTTCCTCAATGGGTCTCAAAAATCTTTTTCGAAGTATTAAGTTGAGTCCTTTTGAAAAAAAATCTAAAAGGGATTTTTTAAGCTCTATTCAGAAGGGCCCGAAACCCCAAAACCACCCGCAGCATTTTTCATCCTTGGACAACCTTTTCAAGATTGCCCTGGAAAACCTGCTAAGCAACCTCCCCCAGACGCAAACTAAAGTCAGCAACCAAAATCTCCCCCTTCTGCTGTTCATTTAAAACGTTCCCTTAAACCTTTTATTTAAAAAAATTACCCCTAAAGCCAAAACTAAAATCATTCCCAAATCTCAGAACAGTGGGATTTTACCAAAAGCCAAAAAAAACCCCTTTTTACGCCTTTTAAAAATTTTACGAATGGGGCCCCCCTTTAAAAAATAAATGGTGGATAATTTTCCCTCATCAATTTTACACCAAATTAAATCAATTTGGGGCCAAAATCTCGAAAATTGACGAGTTTTTAATTTTCCAAAACTCCTGAAAAAAGGTTAACCCAGGGATACGGGATTTACCCAAATCCATTTGTCACAAAAGACCCCCTATGGTTTAGGGTTTTGGCATTTTGGAAAGGGAAAGCTATAACAGGGGAGGGAAAAGGAAACCCCGATGTTTCCCGATAGTTCCCTTTTAGGAGTTAGTTGTAACATTAAAGTATGACTTTATTTTCTTTTGAGGTTTTATTTTCCCATTGCCAAAAACTTGGGAAAATTTCCAGATTTCTGTAACGTCTAGCAAAAAAAATTTTTAAACTGCATACTGAATGTTTTAAGGGCTGAGTTTTTACCATCCCCCAGATGAAAAACAAAAAAAAAAATGGGGTTTGGGCAAAAAAAAAAACGTGACTTTAAAAATTTTAGGGTTTTCCCAAATTGGGCCCAAATTTTACCACCCCTAACACTAAAAAAAATATTTTAATCAGTAACCAGCTTTAAAGGGCTAATTTAAGGGAAAAAAAAACCAAACACCTATAGAAATAAAACAATTTATTTTAAGAGAAAAAACCCCAAAAAATTTAAAAAAATTAACAACTTTTTTCAAAATTTTAAACCCAAAACCCGTGCACCATACATTAAAAAAAATTTCAAAGTCACCTGAATAATATAAGTACCAGATACCAGTCAGTAAATTTAGATCAAAGTTTTTTAAACAATAGATCTAATAACAACTTATTCAGCTCTATTATAAAGCAGTATTTAGGAAAATAAATGTGTTTAAAGTTTTCTTTCTTCTGATTTAGACAATTATTTCAATTCCCAAAATGTTTTTAATTTTTCAGTCATAAAGTAAAATTAAAAATATGCCTATCAACAGGACTTTTTATAATGACTAAATGAGTTTAGAACCCAAATTAGCAACTTTTCGCTTGTAATACAAGTAGCAAACAATTATTTGCTATTTGTATATATGTTAGATTCTTGAAATATAGGAATAAATTCTATATAAGCAAAAATTACCACTTACACAAAATACTTCACATTCGAAAAGAAGAAGAAGTTGCAGTGTCCGGGTTGCTCCCAACAACCTGTGTATAAAATAACAGATTTAAAAGAGACAATTATTCTAATTAAAAATAAATATTTCACTTAAAATCTATTTACCGGCTACATGATACTGTCCCCCACAGCCCCTAATTCAAATGAAAATATTATTTAAGTTTACAGAAATTTTAAATATAAAACTGATTTTAACTGCCCGGGTTGAAACTAATTTTTCTAAACTAAGTAATAAATATTTCAAAACCACTTGAATCTTTATTCTATATTACTCATACGAAGTCAACTAACAATGATCATGTTGCCCACAAATAAATGCTAAACTACTTCAATCTAACATGCTTTACTTCGGCAAAATTGACTGGGTTCAAGCAATCCGCTTTAAATAATATAATAAATAAACGATAGTACAGTAAGTAATCAGATAACAATAAGTATATCAGGAGTTAGGCATATGAAATAATTCACTGTTGATATATAAATATCTGGGGTTAATATATGATTTATTACAGTAATATGGACAATTAGCCAGACTGGATGTGAAAATAAGTTTCCAATTAGGGACAGGTGTAATTATACTAGTAATCCAGACCAAGATGAATGATAAAAAGACAGAGTGGTTAGCTCACCAACCACCTGATAGTTTTTAAATGCTGAGTACATGTCTGTGAACTGGTATCAATCTTTTTCAAAATGTCCAAATCACAGGATAAAAATCAATTCACAGAAGCCCTGGAAGTAAGAAAGGCTTTGTGGAATTCAACCTAAAATATACAAAATCAAATAATAATATACATGTATATCTCTGGTGTCAAAACAATTGATTTTCACACTGTAGATCTTGATCAAGATTTTACACAACTCAATATAGATAAATGAAAAAATCAACCTAGATGTACATTTACATATAACGATAAAATGGCACTTGATTACTAATTAAATTGAAAAAGACACTTACAAAAATATGTAAACACTGAATAATTTAAAGAATTTACAAATTACACTGTTTGTTTACAAATGTTCAAAGTCCACAAATATATAGTTGTCGTCTAAATGGTCCGAAGAAGTGAATAAATCCAACGTTTGATATATAAATAAGAAAAGGTACCTTTAATTAATTAAATGTTAGAGCTCTTTAAAATATAGAAAAATAACTAGCTAGTTGAACTTTTGTTTGTTTTTGATGGAATTCCTCGGGAGTACCCGGTCACCGGAAGTAAATAAGAAATATAAAAGATGTTCTGATTGGCTATAGTTGGGGAATCCCTACGTCACCCTCTGTGTTCGCAGTTTCGTCACCAATATATTCGTACCATAAAAAATACCATCCAAACGTAAAAATCCACACAGGCCACCAATGTCGTATGGTCCTTTTTCAAATGCAGGAATGGTCTGTTTATGCCTGTAAGGACATAAAACATAAGCCTTGATAAATAAATAAACAAGATAAACAATTTCTGGCGCAAACCAAGAGAAATATTTATACCAAAGTGCATAAATACAGATCCGAAATACATAAACGATCAATGGAAATATGCATGATAATGAACATAATGAATAACAACAATTACCTGTAAGGACATAAAACATAAGCCTTGATAAATAAATAAACAAGATAAACAATTTCTGGCGCAAACCAAGAGAAATATTTATACCAAAGTGCGCATGCGTGAGGTGGATTTTCCGGGAAGTTTGTAAAAACTGAGGCCCGGCATGCAAATTATGTCAGAATGAAATATGAGAAATTAGTTGTTATAATAAGATGATGAAATGAAATGATATAGGAATGATATGGGATAATGGATTGTATAGCGGACTGTAAACAGACAAATACAAGAGATATATATACAAATACAAGGACAAAATGATACATAAAAACGATATTCAAAAACACGAATATCGACCACATGACAACTGCCTTACTGTTATGGCCGAGTGGTAAAACGCGGTTGTGGAGAGCAACTCAAAATACACTTATTGTATTGTATTGTATTGTATTGTATTATTTGGATATAAATTGGCATTTATTGAATTTTATTCGATTAAATTTTAGATGAAGATTATTCTAATTATCACGTTGATTGACTAATATTCAGGATTTTCATAAATAAATATATGGGTTGTAAGGAAATATTTAACGGTACAGTATTTATAAAAATGACCGCACAAACACTATAACCATGTATCACCTATTTAGAAGTAGAGTGACAACCATTAGTAATTTTTTACTAGGAAACAGTTGTAATAATTTGAAAACAGTTATTTATCAAAAATGATGTTATTTACAAAGAGAATAGACTTTAACAAATTTAACATAAGTGCTAACATATTGAAACAAAACAAAATAAAAACAATCATAGCTTCATTTATGTTGGGGAAAAAACATGGACCTTCGCAATATCAATCAATACGTAAAAATACATACACAACTGGAGCTTGTCATAAGTGCCGAATACACCCCGACAAGCGCTTGTCAGAAAAGATTTTTAGTTAATAATTTAAACATAGGGAGAATGCAGTGGTTTATAGATTTTTTCAAATGTTTTTTTAATTATTTGTTCTACATCGATAAGGTACTCCGATCTACTGTCTTGTTCCAAGGGTTGTTGTGGCCAAGTATGAATAGAATACTCAAGAACTTAAAAAGTTATGACCAAGGTACATATCTGCGGACGGCAACGGCAACTGGAAGGCCGATATGACTATTTCAATATCTATTTTTTAAAGTCGAGCTAAAATGAACAAAGACCAATAACTCAAAAATAGGGAAGGGAGGGTTACTGTTCTTATGCACTGCACTTTAACTCAGTGAGATCTATCTATCTAAAATGTTTTAAGTTTTTATTTTATTTTTATAATTCTAAAGTTATGTCCCGTCCCGGATAAGTTCAAAGTGTAAAACAAAAACAAAGGCAATTACTCCAAATGGAGGGTTAGGATTCATATGCACTGCTAAGGGCTATAACTCCACAATTAGAGAAGTGTGGTTACGGTTCTTAAGCAGTGCATTTCTACTCATTCAGATGTACAAAGTTTCAAGTTGATATATTTTATAGTTCTCATGTTCTGTCCCACACTAAGTCCTAAGTGTAATAATGAACAAAGGGCAATAACTCCAAACTTTGGGATGGGAGGGTTAGGATTCTTATGTACTGTACTTCTAGTCAGTGAGATCTATATACCTACAAAGTTTTTAGTTTAACCTACGGACAAAGTTAAAATTTTAAATATGAACAAAGGGCAATAATTCAAAAATTTTAGAAAGGAAGGTAAAAGTTCTTTTAAAAAAGCTCATGTTTGCCGGTTCTAAACAAGGATAAAAATAATCATTTCTAAGGCATCATTTTCTTTAAGTATTGGTGCTGATCACAGGGACATTTATTTATGAACTGGTATTTTTATTTCAAACATAACTTATTTCTTTGGCTTTCGTTTTGTGTGTCCTTTATGAATTGCACAAAACGAACTAATTCAAAGAAACACTTAATCTAAAAGGATTGTTATGTAACACGCTGTTTCAAAAAGAGAATTATAACATTCATTAAATAATGTTTATTCTTTTCTGCAAACTGCTGTTCCTACAAAGTACTGTATCTGAGAAATTTAGATGAAAAGCTGTGCTTTAATTTGTTAAATATGGATTGATATTTTGCAGTTTTGACAGACAAAGGCTCCTAAAATATTTCAAAATGGCATAAGCATATTTACCAGAATCGACTATAATGAGTTTTTCTTCCCAATTGAATATTGATGAGTATTGCGTTCATCAAAAATGCAGTCCGTATTGTTGTCGCCATAATGTAATTCCTTTTCTCTTTTGTATTTGGCAGCTTTTATAATGAATGGTATCATTATAACGCCTTTTGTTAGAGTAACATGAACCAGCTTTTACTGAACAATAAGTGTTTTGAAAATGTTCCTAAAGTTACAATTACACATATTTCAATAAAAGCATGTGATACTTTGTATGTTAACTAAAGGGAAATTTGTATTTTTTAAAAGAATATCATTTGTAAATAAAAAAGGTAAAAGATTAGCATTTAGAGCAAAAGTGCAATAAAAAAACTAAAATAATATTACACAAGTAATTCTAACGTAACGCGTAAATTACGCTATACACACAGAAGAAAATAACCAGGGCTTGTCTGTTCAAATTATACTCATTTTCCACCATAAGTAGCCAGCGGAATGACGTCATCCTTAGCATACAAGTCATTCAGAATTAGCGCTGAAATAACACTTTTTTAAAGCATGCTACTCACCGGAGAAGTTCATCAAGCACCGGTCTCAATACTAGAAAATTAGATTCTATATGCGATTTTAAATTGTTGATGAACTAATTTAAAAAGAAATACTAGAATTAAAGACCAATGTTTATACTTAAAATAACATAAATGAGAGCTAAATATAGCAGAAAAATATTAAAATTGGCAACATCTCTTGAAAATTAACATATTAGTGATGAATCTATTTAAACAAACAAGCAGATGAACATCGATATGACAGATACTATCTCTAAAAATAAATTTTCCGAAAAAGAAACATTAAATTTTTATATATTGCAACAGATATATGTTGTTGTGTTTACAAATTTTAATAATCAATGAAAATGGATTTTCATTGTTACTTCTAAAGGTTGTGAAGAAACGAACGTATAAAATATATACATAATCTCTTAAAAATATATATTCATTTATACCCGACACATAGCTTACAGTCACGTTATTTCAACAAACACAAGAGAAAACCAATAAAAGTTATAAACGAAATATCAATAAAGATAAAGAATAGAATCTACATGCATCGTCTATATGAATTGTAGAACTAATAAAATTTCAAATACATCTGGGATTGTTTAATTAATATACAATGTGGTATCAGCTAAATGTGTTTCAAAATTTTGACAGGGAATCAGTGTTGGCGCCGAAAATTATTGTCTACACCTTTTAATTGTATTGCACATTGGTTTTAATACGAGGTAAATCGATAAAAATATGATAATAAATACCATGTATATCATGTGCATTGAAAACGGTAATCAGATGTAACATTCATTTATTTAATGTTTTTTAGTTCCGAGCCCAACTCTCTTTAAGATCACTAACCGTTATACAAACTATTATCAAAGGAAGCATTTGTAAAAAATCAGTGTAGCTTTGGTGGACATTTCGACATAATTTAACCTAGCTATTTGTAATAGCATTTGTAATCGAAATGTGGAACCTGATACGCCCGTACTTCACTTCAGTGTTGTTAAATTTTTCTGGTCATTCGGGATCATTGATCCCAGCACTTTTAAGTGTTGAAGATTGATTACCACCGAAGCAGACTCAATCAAACCGAGTCTGCAATTTCATGTTATTTAGTTGTGATTAATGCTCCAGATGGATCACCCTTTATTTTATGCTTTTCAGTGGATTACTGATTTATCCGTGAAAATTATATTTGATAATTTCACAGTGAAAATTATCAAAATATAATTTCACACTTTTCAATGACGAAACTACTTTTTTAAGATTTTCCCCATGTTGTACCTCAATTTTATTTTTGCTGACTATTCCGTCAATATCAGGCTGTTTAAAGAAAAGCTAAGCTGAAATTGATAAATAACTTATATGTCAAAAGTAATAAAAAGAAGAAAACTTACAGTAAGTTACTTCTATTCATTAAAATTACCAATCACCAAATATCGTCTCTTTAATTTTTTGTTTCATTTTACAGTCTGAAAAATACATTCCTTCCACATGCAAAACTGCTATTGATGACATTTGGGAATATTTAAGTATCCTACGAGCAAAAACTGCAGTATGCTTTATGAAAACTTGAAAAGCAATGGCAGCTTTCAGTCAAAGAATATGTAAAACAACCCAGCGTTCGTAAGGCTTCCAAGTTTTCCAATTTCCTATCCACTTTTTTGAATGTTTACACATCTGTCAACACTTATTTATTGTCTGTTACAATCCGCATATAAGTTTTCTTTCTTTTAAAAAGAAGTATGACTAACAAATCCAAATGATATCCCTCTGAATCAAATACAATTATTTTCCTCCATTGAAATACACAACTTTAAAAATGGCGGCCGTTTACATTTAACATAGCCAGGTCTAATATAAATTCGCAGTCAGTAACAGAAATATGGATGGATGGTTGGACTTTTTCTCCTACTAGAATTGTTTTTTATTATTTAAACATGCGATCAGACATATTTTTTTAATAAAATGAATACTATCACCACCATTTAACGTTGATTGTGGAACTTATTTTTCAGCCCATGTCTTCTTGTATTTAATGAGAAATCCGACTTTTTTGAGGCTCTAAATGGGGAAACAGATTTTAATATTAACGTAAATATTAAGGAAATTTCGTTTTAACTTGTTTTTAAGCATAAATTAAAAATAAAATTTGTTTGTTTGTTGTGTAAGATGTAATTTTATTTCATCTCGTGAACTTTAAAAACAGTATTCTCACTCGTGGCTACGCCACTCGTGAGAATACTGTTTTTAAAGCCCACTCGATGAAATAAAATTTCATCTTACACACAAATAAACAAATATCCTCTATTTCTTCAGATCACCCTATAAAAATAAATCTTATATATAGGAACACAATTACAACATCTGTTTATTTTTTTTATAAATGTTACAATTGCAAATTGAAACTCTCTAATGTTTTGTGAAAGTAAAACCGTAATTCAGCCATACTTTAGTCAAAAATCAAAACTAAAAACATTTAGATTTGATAACAATGAATTATAACTACAGATTTCCTTTTTAAACTTAAAGAAATGCTTTGGCGTTTGTTATTTGTTATTCTGCCTGGCATAATACGTTGTCTGTATATAATTTTAAGAAGGTGACGAGATTAGATGTGTTTATTTGTAAGAATAATCATTTTCTTACCTGGTAGAAATTCCACAAATTTTGTTTGTAATTGTAAGAATCAACTTAATTGCAAAGTAAGCTCTGTTTAATGTAATACAATAATGTTTGCTGATCTATGGATTCAACATTATTAACAGTCTTATTGTTACGAGGAACCTAGAAAAGTACTATAATAAGTAATTTATTGCAGGTGTTTTAGTTCTCTGTTTCAAAATTTATAGTAGATACAATAGACAAAACAACTAAAAGTACTTTAAGTGTACCTAGCTCATATCATTAGTTGCGCTTTGATTGCTTGGACAAATATCAAATTTCAATTATAAATGGATATTTAAAGTATCAAAACAAGCGTACATAATTATTATGTAGATAAGTCTCAGGAATTCCAAAATCAGCAATGATAAGATACTTTCAGGTTTAACTTCACAACAAGTGAATATAAACACGCGGTACTGTTAACTTAAAACATGGATGCTTAGCTGGTCCTATGTTGTTTTGCTTTTTTATAGACGTTGTTTGTCTGAAAATTTATATAATACATCCTGATATATTTCAAGTATTTATATAAGTTTCAAGATGACCAAATTTTAATATCTGATTCTGTTAAAAGTCTACAAAGTACGTTGAAATGCAAATCAAAATTGTGTTATACGTACACATGAAAGTCAATTTTAAACGAAATTAAAACACAAAGTTGTTTGCCATCAACGAAAAATGATCATATTGTAATTGATTTAGAAGTTGGATTCGATATTTATTCAAACTATATGTGAAATTGTCGATTCGTGAATTGTTGTTGATATGGTTGATATATTAAAATCAATCGTTTATCATATAGAAAACATTGATGTGATTATAGCAGGTTTAAACAAAATTGTTTTATTTTAAATCAATGATGCCTAATAGCATAATGCTGTGCACAGTTAATTTCAAGTTCCTGCCGTCAATGTCCTACAAGCAATACGTCTAATAATTCTGATACCAAACTACACAACCTGGAAAAAGAAAACACATTTTGTTGAGAACATATATGACATAAGATTGCAAATCTACAAAGAAAATATCCCATCTGCAATAGGCAGGCAGTCAAAAAAGTTGCAATTAATTCCGTTGAAGCCCAAAATCTACAGTGGCCCGAGACCCAAAACAACACATTTCGTCCCATTGTTTTCAGTACATTAAATGTAAAATATACATATATTTGCTGCTGTCATTTTACATATGGTTCAAATAAATATCAGGTAATTTTTAGGGATAACAGAAAATATCTGATTGTAATGGGATAAATTCTGAAAACGTAAGGCGTCATTAAAAAGAAATTTGTATGAAATAAATTATAATTAAGTATTTATTATATGATTTATGGCCATTATGTTTTCTTGGCACTTTTAGCTCATTATATAAATTCCTTTTCATCCAGTCTGTAAATTCTGTAAATTCTCTTTGTGTTCACTTAATTTCAGAAAAAAAAAGAAAAATGAAATAAATTAATTCTCGTTAAGATATCGTGAAAACTAACTACAATAACTATTGCACCTACGTTGATTTGTATAATATTATAAATATTATGAAATAAACGTGTAAGAAAATAACAAGCTTTTGACCACACCTTAGCATATGCTTAAGTAAAATTCAACGTTGGAATTAAATTTTAAAATTTAGAATTTATAAACATCCATGTGTTGATTAAAAAAAGTCGTGTTCATTTGATATGATGGGCAAACATTTTAAATATTTAAATCAAAGGAAATAGAATTAAATACCTTATTGATCCTTACACCGCGAAAATTGAAACATGCCTCACTTAATCTTTACAGCATCGGTTCTCAGTGCCTAATCTATATAATTTGTGATACATAATCTCAGAAGTAGTTCATACTGGTCAGAGCATACACAGTCTTCTGTTGGATTATTTCATTTGCAATTAATGTTTATTTGTTTTTCTTTTCAATCTCACCGTGCATATCCAGTAACGCAGGAATATGCAAATAACGTAAAAGTAAAGCCGAATCTGTGCAACGCTATTACCAAAACGAATAACACAGTAAGTAATCGAACCAATATATTTTATTCTAAATCAAATTTAAAGAAATTAATTAGCGCATACGTTTGCTACGACATTATTCTTAAACCAGCATTACATTTTTTCAGGTATATGTTTACTTTTTATATCATTCGTGAAAAAGACAACCTCATTACTGTTTTGAATGTGACTTGTGTTTTGTCAAATAAATATTACATTTAAGACATTTAAAACTTTATTTTTTCATATTCTGTATACCTAAGACATTTGTCAAACTACAAGTGTCGTATCGAA